AAAATAAATGCGGTTGCCCTTTTTTGGGTTTGTCTTGTTTTCCTGGTTTTTAACCCTGGGAAAGCTGCTGGTCTGGGGGTATGGGTGGGCCCTCGATTTACTAGGGGTTTCCCGGGTTAATCCTGGAAAGGGGCTGGGTTTCCCCACGTGGACTTGGCCCTTCTAGAAATTTCCCCTGGTCTTGGGCAGTGAGATGGGGACCCCGTGTGCTTTAAAAATTGCGCACGAAAAAAAACCCCTGACTTTGGAAAAATCGAAAAGAGTAGCCAAAAGGGGCACCCCAGGAAAAAAAATTGGAGAAAAAAATCTACCAAAAATATTCAGGATCTTCGCGGGTGCTAGGGAAATTCGTGCACTGCGTGAGATTCTTCAGTTAAGTAAGAAGAGAAGGGGAAACTTAGGGGTTTAAATACCCTTGTGTCATGAGTTGTCCGTTTTTAAAAAACCCCCCTTTCTGCAAAAAAAGAGTATGCGAAATGTAAAAAAAATATCAAAACCAGAGTTTTTTCGGGAAAAGGGAAAGGCGTTTTGTGGGGTGGGTGTGTGTTTTGGGGGTGTGTTTTGTGGTGGGTGTGGGGAGAGAGAGATAGAGAGACAGAGACAGAGAGATGTATAAATTGGCCTAAATTTACGCAGTTTTTTTTTTTTTAAAAATTATAAAATTATATATATATAAAAAAAAAAAAAAAAAAAAAAAAAAAAAGACTGCGTAATTGACCCACTCAGACATTTCTGTCTCTGTTCTCTTTTCCCCTCTCTCCACAAAACACACACACAAAACACCCCACACACACACACACACACAAAAAAAATCCTTTCCCTTTCGAAAAAACTGCTGTTGTAAATTTTTTGTAAAATTTTCGCATATCATTTTTTGCAGATGGGGGTTTTGAAAAAAGGGATAACATCAGAAACAAGGGTAGTAACCCATAAGGCTCCGTTCTACTTTTACTTAATGAAGAATCTCAGCGCGGGTTACGAGCTTATAGCACCAGCGAAAAATCCGAAATTTTTGGTAGGGGGGGTTTTTTCCCCAATTTTTTGGCCTTTGGGCTGCCCTTTTAGGTACTCTTTACGTTTTCCCAACTTTTAAAGGGAAATTTTTTAGTGCGCAAAATGCACACGGGCGTCCAAATCTCACTCCCCGGGAAGACCGGGGGGAATTACGAATTTCCAAGCCCACGTGAGAAAATCCCACCCCTTACCAGGATAAAACCCCGGGAAACCTCTAGTACTGAGGCCGAAACCATACCCGGGACCCGCAGCCCCCCTAGGCAAAGGCTCAGGAATACAAGACACCCAAAGAAGGTCAATCCCCATTTATTTTAAAAAGGCAAAAACCCATAGGTTTTCAGGTTATTACTCTCATATAAGTAGGTAGTTTGGGGATGTATAATAATAGGGAAAACAGAGAGGTATTTGGGTAAATAGGTGTTGGATGTAGAGACAGAAAAACAGGCATGAAAAAATTATTTTGAACGAGGTGGTAGCAAAAAGATAAGTACGTAGTTAGTAGAAGATAAAGGCGTGTGTGGTGGGGTGAGTAGAAAAAACCCAAGCAGGCGGTACGTGGAAAGCAGAAAAAAAGGGAAAGAGGTCAGGTGTAATATTACAAAAGGTGGTTTGACGGGCAGGCAGATTAGTAGTAAAGGGTTATCATTTCGTCAGGGTTGGACTGGGT